CTGGGCTCTGCTGCATATCTCCTGCTTTGGCCAGACGGGTCATGCTGTGCTGTACGTTCCTAGAACACATACATAGCAAGGGACTCACATCAGGACAGGCCTTCACATAGGGTCTCAGAGCCCCTTCCCAACACGCAAGCCTTCTTTCTCCGAAGCCCCGGAAATCTCATCCCACATTTGGGAGACAAACGACTGCAAAAAGTATAAATACACACACTTTCCTCCATACTAGGGACCCAGAAATTCAAACACACATGTTTCTCTGGGCCTCCTCCACAACATTTCATAATACACTGTAACTCCTGTACTTGGCGCTGCACTTCAGCCTGCTTCGGCAGGGTGCTGTGACGGTACCCGCTGACCAGCTCAAGAAATCCTCACTTGCCCTTGAAGACCTCATCAGACGGGGCAGCCTTATTCTCAAACATGCCACCTGGCCTTCTCAGAAAACGCTCCTACTCTCTGCACCTCCTGTCACTTCAACCCACGCTCACCCTTCTGAACCACAACACCTTCTCACCTCTTCACGGCACAAAGACATCCGCCCAAGGACACGCTGGAAAACTGCACAGGGACGCTCCAAACAACAACGACCTCGCAGGGATGGACAAACCGGAACGTCCACCTTCCATAAATGACAGCCCCTGAAAAGAAAAATCAACAAACATTTCTACACCAGCCTTCACCACACACACTGGGAAAGAACCCAAACCACACCACGCACACTGTTGGGGGGGGCCGCGGCGGGGGAGACCCTCACACGCCTGCACGGCACCCACAACAGGACTGTCACAACTCACCACCCCCTCCACCGGTCCGCCGCGGCTCCCTCCAACAACTGCCCACACGAGTCCTGTGCAAACAATGGGACCACAGGACGACCGTCCAAATGCCGCATCACCAAGGATCACGGCACACACGGACCGACACCCACCTTTCCAAAACCCACCGTGTCACGAGGACCCCACACACACTCACACAAACAGACACGACCTGCATCGCACAAACGGCTTCCACCTACAACCATGCAAAACAAACACATGCAACACAAAAACACAACTCTACAACATTACCAATCACAATTCAACAACCTCTCACATCCATCTTTCTTTCTCTGCCCCCTCCCTCCCTCCCTCCCTCCCTCCCTCCCTCCCTCCCACCCACATCAAAACCTATTTCACCAACGACACTACCACGGCACCCACCTGGCCTCTTCCATCACACCCAACAGCCAGCGGGGACATCGCCCTTCCGTCAACCTTCTCGCATGAAACATCTTCGAAGCACAGGCAGAGATGAAGGGACAGACAGACGGAAACCTGAGGGGGGGGGGGGGACAAAAAAGAGTCTGAAAGACCTTTTACAAAACCATCATCACACGCTCTTACAATTCTACTACTTGAAGGACACTTGCACAAGCACAACGGAAGACCCATGGCAACACGCTCACAGGACAAGCAACATCCCGGTCAGCTCAGAAACACGCGAGGACTGACCAACACGGCACGCACCCACCACCTACATGCTCCACAACATACGCACGGACAAACACAACTCTCCCTCAACACCCACGAAAACCACACTCCAAAAACGCAACCGCGTGCACAAGGAAGCGCCCAAACACAACACACGCGCCCACTCCCACACCAACGGAACAACAAAATCAACACACAACTCCACCACTTACCTCAGCCGACAACGGGGGAGTACCTTGCCCCACGAACAACGCACCATGACACGCGGCTCAGGACTTCCACGTCCATTCCATCAGCCGCACAACGCCTGGCTCAGCCGCAATGCCGACAAAAACCAGGCAGGGCAGGCGCCGGCTTTTAAAGACCTTTGGGCGGGATTTCCAACCGCGGGAACCTTTCGGGGCGGAGACTTCTCCGCGCATGCCCGGAGGGCACACATTCCAATGCCCTCACCCAAACTCAACACTGCCCTGCAGCAAAATCGCTGCCCGCACTCCACTCACCTCAAAAGCCACTTCGGGAGAAACGGGGACCGACGCCATGCCTCCATCCAGCCAAACGGCACCTAGCCCTCCACCTAGGGGACAAGAGGCGCCTCGCACGGCCTCCCTTGGCTCATCACGGCACGGACCCGCTGGGATCGCTACACACAACCTGCACTCTCCAAGGACACGGCCTCTCAGCCTCGCAAAAAACACAATGCATCCCCTGCTGCTGACAAACAGCTGCAGCGCCTGAGACACACGCCTCCTCACTCCTACACACTCGCATCTCCCTTGCCCCACCACACCTGCCCGTCTTCATCCATGCTCCCACCGAAACGGTCGCTGCTCACCACACCCTAGCCCCGAGTGGACCACAGCATGCCGTTGACGTTTATGTGACCCTGGGACACACACACACCACCTGTCCCACCGCACTCAGCCCACGCTCACAGCCACACGCACCTCGCCCCACCGGACAGCCTCCCTCCCACACAACAACAGACACGACCGCTGCACCCTCTCCACACACACCGGCACGGAAACGAGGCCCGAAACAACAGCCGGCTCCCTCAACAAACACAAAGCCTCACCCTTCCTCACCGTGCAAAACATAATACCATCCAAAACTAAAACACTTCCAGCCACACGGCACCATCGCCTGCCCTTTACGCAGACACACCCACATGGCCACGCCTGCAGGGAGCCACACACCTCCGCCCTCATCCCCTCCACAATGGCCCATCCACACCTCCATCAACCTTTAGCCCTAGGGAACCCCAGCACTTGCAAGCAACAACACCTTGCCAAACACATTTCTTCCCAAAATCTACAATGGCCTCTTCTGTTTCGCTTTACAAACGGATGCCTTCTGCTCCACTCCACATGACAATGCCTGCACAACAAAAATCACAGGCCACACACGGATGACACTCACTTCCTTCCCCAACAATACAAAACGCTCACCATCCAAAATGCACTCAAAATAATCACATCTTCACACAACACCTCTCTCTCTCTCTCTCTCTCTCTCTCTCTCTCTCTCTCTCGCCATCAGAAAACAGGGACACACTGGACACTGCCTGCCACACGGACCATGCCACACAACACTCAGCGACTTGCAAAGGAAACGACATCAACATCACTTCAAAACAAACCACTTGCCCGACACCTCTCTCTCACTGACTCATCGCTCACAGCCTGCCGGGGCCGAAAAATCGCACAAGCTCACAAAATGGCACACTCACTGAGGCCCAGAACACACATCACGTCTCACCACCGGGACCTACCACTGCCATACTCCCACTTACACTTCCAGCGGCCTCACGGCTCGCCTCACCGACCTTCTCATCCAAACGAAAGACCACGGCTGGGCCTCAGAACCACACGGCACAACTCCTTCAAACACACTCCCGCCTCTCCCCTCCACCCCCACATCGCCTCTCCCCTCACAACAACACGAACACCTCTGGACCATCGCTTCAAGCTTCACACATGCATCACCTGAAAAATCCTTCAACCAACAAACACAAAACACACACTCTACCAATAGGACCACGAAACCTACCTCATACGACCATTCTGCTACAAATGCATACAAGGACCACCAAAAACACACAACCACAACAAACCCACGGAACCAGCTCCACCACATGCAAACCGAACACTCAGGGAAAACGGGCTTGCATGCAGGCAAACGGACCCTCCGGCGAATCTCAACAAGTACACTCAGCGGGGCCAAATACACAATCACGCCACAAACACAGACCTTCTGCAACACAAACATTTCCTTGGTCCGAAACAAACCTCCTCCCCCCTCCCTCCCTCCCTCCCTCCCTTCCAGCAACGACATGACCAGCCACTTCAAATACCCACACCCACTTCCTCCTTCCAAATCCTCCAAAGTCACCTACAACACTTGGCACCCGACGCTGCCCTTGCTCTCTCCACACACAGGAAATCACACCAGCAAAGCGCCATGCGTCACTTCAAATCCAGGCCTGCCTCACACATCCGGGACCAAGGACAAACCAAAACGGACCAAACCTCTAGGCTTGGGGGGAAAAAAATACATGGACGTGCCTGCAGGACACTCAGGCGTACCATTCAAACCATCACAAGACAGCGACTTCTGCTCCGACCCACGGGCCGGAACTGTGCCCGCAGGGGGAACAACAAATGCCACTTCAAAGGAACGAGAGATTTCACAACGACCTCCGCTCACACACAAAACCACAAAAGCCTCCATCCACATGCAAATCCATCTTCCTCAGGGAACGCATGGCCCTAGGACAGGAACAACCACCACAAACTCCTTTGCAATTCAACGCTTGCCTTGCCAGGACATCCCCACCGGGGACTTACGCCTCTTCCCTTGCTGATGCCGCTGCGCACCACTTCCCTCAGGGACGCACACAAACCTGCAAAAGCCACATTCCACACATCCAACAAACACACCGACCACAAACATCCCATCCGCTTTCTCCTACGATGACACACTTCAAAGCACTCCCATGGCATCACCGACTCCACATCAACACTCCATCCTGCCCTTCAAACCACATCCGAGGACGGGAGGGAAATGCCACATGCCACATGACAGCTTGTCCGATCGCACCCACCCATTCATGGCGAAAACCTGACATCCAACACCCACCCCATCACAGGAACTCACCCAACAGGCTCAAACACCGGCCCAGCCGTGGGCTCACAAACTCCAGCCTGCACGGGCTCAGGGGCACAGCGGGGGGGGGGGGGGGGCATCGACCCTCCCTCTTCTCATGGATGAGGGCCCTCACCCCCCAAAGCCACAAAAACACCTTCGCAGGCTTCAACGAGGAAGCCCATCCTTGACTCAACCACTCACACACCAAACCTTTACCACCGTACCACATACCATTCCATACCCCAACGACAAACCAACCCTCCACAAAACCGGCTCCTCGCAACATGGGAGACTGCTGGCCTCACTTAAAACGCTCTGGGAAAGGGGGGGAGGGGGCAAAAAAAAGGCACAGCACAATGGACAGGGGGACCGCGGGCCTCACGGCACATGACACATATCAAGACAACTTTTTCAGGAACACCAGCTGACCTGCCACGCGCTCACACTCAAGCAACCGTTTCAGGGGCACATGCAGCCAGGCTTAGGCATTTCGCAACATTGGCCTCCAAAAAAGACAGGGCCACACACTGGGGGAACAGACGTGCCCACAACACAAACAACCCAGGGCGCTCGCATCTCCACAACACAAGGGAACGCCAACACTCCATTTGCATAACACAAAACAAATGCAAAGAACCCACAAACATCAGGATTTACAACACAAAGACAAGGAAGCCCTGCATTCACCTGCAAAACAACCAAGCCCACAGGGAAGCAGGGGGGACAACCTCGCAAGGCCCCTGACAAGGTCAACCTTGCAGCCCACGACTTCCTGGGCGCAATGATGGCGAGCCCTTTCAGCTCGCCCTGTCCAGTCGGCATTTCCAAAACCCATAACTCAACTCTGGCGCCGTGTCACATACACATATTTTTACATATTTGCAACCATAGGAAAACAAACAAACACTTCTATTTCTGATGATTTCTTTTGGTTTTTGAATACCATTTAACAAAGAAAAATCAACTAAAAATACGAGTTCGCACATCACCTCTCACACGCGTGGCGTAGCTTCACCATCACTGCACTACGGGAACCAACTCCGAGGGCAATACGGACCCAGCAGAGGGAAGACCAGCCACCACGATCTGCACCCTTCACAACACACACAAAAAAAGGAACCCACTCGGACCCTGGCCACTCTCCCTACATGACAGTCTGCACTTCTTCTGCAACACACCTCCACATTGCCTACAACACTTTCTGACCGCCAATTCATTCTGCCATTCCGGCCAAAAAAACACACGGCTTCCACGACAAAAAGGACAGAGCCACCACCTACCCCCCTTTCAGGCACCCGCTGAAAAGGGACACCTATACCCGAACGGCACACTCACCACCCTCACATCCTGCACGGATGATCACAACCAAATCTCTCCAACACACACACACACACACACACACACACACACACACACACACACACTCCTCCTCACCTAGCTCTTGGCTCCACCTACCGGACAAGCAGGAACATGCATTCACAACCGCAATCCTCTCACCAAAACCACATGGGCTCCCACACAGCTTCCTGACACCAAATGGACAACACGACCATGCTCTCCTCCCCCCAGGCTTCCATGCCAAGGAACACATTCATTCTCAATGCCGGTGCTTTGAAAAAAAATCTTATTTCGGGAGCATCCTACTTGCACAAGGACTGCAACAAAAAAAAGGCCATGCAAACATGGACCTTTCCACAAACATGGCTTCTCTTGCCCCAGATGATTTCAAACACACTCAACTTGCCGTGGCAACTTCAAACGATTCACAACATTCACAAACCAAGAAACACGGATGCGTGCTGATCACATTCACGCTTAGCATGGGGAAAACAACACAACAACCCTACTTGAGCGCATGGCCACTTCACCAGGAATGCCTAGGCATGCCACGGGCTCAAAACAGGCGCAACAAGGCATCTTTATTTCCGCTGACGGTGCCTGGGAAGGGTTGCAAATTCACATCTTTCGCAGAGAAGACCAGCACGAGCCCATGCTACTCGCTGCATCAGCTTCACACATACACCTGCTACAACCAACACTCTCTGCTTTCTTGCAAAAGGACACAAAATCAGCAGCTTGGACATGGTCAGAGATGCCTGCCTCGATCAGAGCGGCCCCCAGGTCACGGAGGGCCTCAACAATGCTCGCCTCTCCATGACCATCGCGAGAATAATAGCTTCTCCTAATACACCAAACACTCCAAGGACGGACTGGAGGCTCCACCATCGTGGCCTCCTAGGCAATGACTCATTGCCTCAACAATGCCTGCCCACAGGGGACCAACTCACATCCTCAAAGCACCTGCTCACCGGCCCAGGGCAGCGCTCTCCAAGGCCTCCCTCGGCAGGCCTGCCTGGCCACAAACACCTCACACATCGACACCCGACACTTCACTCCATTCAACCACGAAATCATGGCCCCCTGGACAGCCTCCAACACTTTCTGCCATTTCTTTTGCCCCTTTTTTCGGGACACATTGGCTGGGACCTCACATTGCAGCACCAAGGACACAAGCACACTCTGTTTGCCTACAATGGACACAAGAGGGCAGCAGACGATCGCTAAGCCGCACCAAGGCTCTCACACGCAGCGTC